ACACGGCTGGAGGAGAATGTGTTCCTATATACCATAAAATCAAAGAGCCACACATTGCTGGATTCTTTATGAGTGACAGAATTAAAAGCATAGGGAAGATCCGAGACAGAAAGATACAAGGGCACCAACCCGCGAACCTCATGTCTTCTCATCTTGGCTTGTTCTCTAGTAGTGGCTTTGTGCTCCTGTTACACAACGCTCGTGTTTTCTTGCTTCGCGTTCTTATTTGGATAGGCTTCATTGAGGTCTTTTGTAATTATCCATTCCTGACAAAGAGATGCGTGTTCAGATTTGATGTTTTGAAACAGGCAAGGTATGTGGAAGGCTGAGGCTTTTCAAGTCACTGGATCGCTGTCTCTGCCTCCCCGAACACCTCACTTTCTAAAGACAAGGCATCTTTGAGGAAACAGTAGTTGAAGAAGGTTGCATCTGATGTGAGACTAGCTGTGAAGCACTGTATCCTTGGAGTGTCATTCACAAAATAAAGAGTCATACTGTTTAGTAGGTCCTGCAGCACCTAGTAATTCGTAGACGGTAGATTGTAATTTTTCATGACTTCTCTTTCTAGAAAGTCTAAGAGGCAAGTGGCTTAGGAGAGATCTCACTCAAGTCCAGCAGAGCTATGCCAAGAGAAAGTTTGCCAACACTGGGAATTTTTAAAAAATCATCATCCACTTGCTGCCCAGCCCAGCCATATCTGTCTTCTATAGATATGAGAAGTTTACCAGACATCAGGAAACATAAAATAAAATTGGACTCTATAATACATTTTTTCTTGTTCATCAACAAAAAATATGTAGTAATACTTCTTTCATAAAAGTTAGAAAGTCACTAAAGGAAATGTGGAAAACGCATGAAAGTACAAAGAAAAAAATTATCCCTAGTACTACTACCCAAACCCGAATACCACCACTAATGTTCTGTGGATTTCTTTCCAGTTTCTTTTTTTAATGTACACGTTTAGAGAGTATAGAAGAGTGGGGGAGAAAAAAATACATATATATATATATATATTTCAGTACCCCACTTTTTAAGTTAGAATTGTATGAAATGCATTTTAAATGTTATTCGTAAACATAATTTTTAATGGTACATTAAGTTGCATCAAAATGATGTACCATGGCTACTTAGACTGATTCTAATGATGCACCATTAAAGAGACTTTGTTATTATAGAGTTCCAAAACTAATGCTATTGAATCCAAGGGCATAAACATTTGAAACATCTTAATATGTATTGGGTATACAAAAATTTGAATCAATTTATAGACCGGCCAGGAAAACACAAATATGCCTATCTCATCTTGTTCTTACCAATATTGGATAATTTCATTAGCTTTATTCTTTGGTTGGGTTAATTTTGTTCTTTACTTTCATAACCAATAATCCTATTTTCCCCATATATTTGTGTACTAACTGCATTTCCTCTTTGGGAAAATACTATGTCTGTTGCAGTGTGTCGTCAAAAGAGAGAAATCAAAAGCAGAAGGAAAATACTTATCATCAAGACAATTTTGAAAGTTTATGGTCATTGCAAAAAGTAGAATTCCTGATTTCACCATTCTCGAGACCTTTCATTCTCATTTCTCATCACGCTGCCACCCATAACTATGATTTGCAAACAATCTGCAGCTTCTCCAATAAGCCATATGCTGTCAACGCCTTGACTTTGTACATGCTGTTCCCTTATCTGGAATGTCCTTTAACGTATACCCCAATCACACACACCACACATGCACACAGCGCCTGTGGCCTTTCCCAGGCCCCAGCAGTCGCTTATCCTTACCTTTCTCATAGCCCCTGACATCCCACATCCTTATCACTAATATTCTTTTCAGACTTTCCCTCCTGCCCATGGTTTCCACAAGAGCAGGGACACCTCATCTTTGATTTCTAGATACCACCTCATTTATTATCATGCCTGAAAGAAAGTAGAAGTTCAGTAAATGGTTCTTTCCCTCTGGACATTATTGTGTAATAAACGTCATGCCTTCTCAGTTATCCAACTCTGTCATCCCCAGTAATTGTTAGGATTTTGAGGGAGAGACTGAGTAGAAAGAATACAAGCTTCAGAGTCAGCCAAACCTAGGTTCAAACTTCCAGTTCTACCGCTAACCAGTTCAGTGTCCTTGGAATAATTACCTAATATCTTTGACACTCCACTGGAACAAAGAGTGATCATAATACGTACCTTACAGGATTATTTGAATATAAATGAGGTATTGAACAGATGTAAAGAATCTGGCATATAGTAGTGGCTCTCAATAGTAGACCACTTTCTAGTTATTGTTGTGTATTTCCATTATATGCATACTTCTATTGCATATATATTTCCTTTATAAGGCATATTACTGAATTCAAAGATCTGATACCTAAGTATGTATTTTTCTTTGAATCATGAAGGCCAAGACACAAGGTCAGTTGCACTGACCATATTCCTGCTGCCTGGGCAAGAATATTCCTTTTAAGCAAATCTTAGAGAAGAATTAGTTCTAATCACAGTTGAGAAAAGTAGGCCTATATTTTCCAAAGGCAAGAGAAATCAAGTTCTCTGTAAAATAACACATGATCTAATCAACGACTGCTTAATTTTTTTCTGTTTGCCCCATTAATATTGCTGAAGGTATTTGGGGACCTCAAATTACTATAAATAAAGGCTTGCTGTCTCTGATGGCTGAAGAAAAGAACTTTTGGAACATGCTCTACTTTTCATTTCTAAAAATATATCCACTTGGGCCACACTACAGAAGTACATGAAATCTTCCCAGTTAAAAATCGGATTTACACTGGTGGTGTGTTCAGCACAAGCACGTGTACATGCAAACACATGCATGCGTACACACACACACACACACACACACACACACACACACACACACACACACCCCAGAAACCCTCTGAAGCTCAGTTTCTTTTATTTATCAAACAGCCATGATTCATGTGTGCCTTCTGTGTGCCTCCCTTAGGGCTAAAAGACATTTGCATCCATCTGCCAACCAGATGAACCCAGAAAAAAAGTCACAAAAAGTGCCTAAGCGAGGGTAATACAAGTATTTGTGCAGAATAAATTTGCCAAGATCTTTTTCCTCTACCTTTACCCCAAACCCCATCACAAGCTGGTTTTACATCCCACATGCCACGGTTTCCCTTCTGATGACAGCTCAGACCATCCTGCCCAGCACTTTGTGTTCTCAGCCTCATACCACACATGATTAAACGTAGAATATGAGCCTCTAGTACAGTGCACAGCATAAAAATGTGCTCAATACACAGTGTTTTCTTTCTACCTTTTCAAATCCTTCTGAGCGTTCGCCAGATCCTCCTCCACACCCCGTGGAGGATTCCTGCCACAGAGAGTCAAAGTTACTGCCCCAGGCAGGCCTTCTCAGATGCTGAGAAATGTCCAGGGATTTTCCATTTGGGAGGTTTCTGGCATTCTGACATATGAAGAAATGCCAAAAACGGCTTTCAAAAATAATAGATTTTAAGCTTTTGCATCTCACAAAAGAATGTTTTTAAGTACTACGGTGTACTCTACGGTGATACTTACAAGATTACCCTAGGATTTGTAAAAAGATGCTACAGCAAGTGCAGCTGAGGAATGCCGACAGGAGTTTCAAATGCATCCTACATGTCATCCTCCAAATCTGTTCATTGTGTTCTGTCCATGTGTAAAGCCCCACTTGGAAGTGACATTTGAAAAATAAATTTCAAGTCCTTTGAACTGTAAACTCTTCATTTATAAAGTCCTTACTCCCAGGCGCCTGGGTGGCTCAGTTGGCTAAGCGTCTGCCTTCGTCTCAGGTCATGATCCCAGGGTCCTGGGATCGAGCCCCTGTGTCAGGCTCCCTGCTCCGCGGGGAGCCTGCTTCTCCTTCTCCCTCTGCCCCTCCCCCTGCCCCTTCTGTCTCTCTCTCAAATAAATAAAATCTAAAAAATTAAAAAAATAAATAAAGTCCTTACTCCTATTCTCATCATAGTGCTTGCCACCAGACATCTATGAAAACAAAACCATGAGCAAATAATAAAATAGATGGGGCAAGATTTCCCCTGAAAAGAGGTGGAAAAGGGCTTAGGGGAGCCAAATGAGGCCATTATGGCCACATCAACTTACAGGTTGAACTGGGAAGAATTTCTCTCCACAACCCCCTGGCAACTCATTCACTGTCACTAAGGGGGCCGCGACCCCCCACTTGGATAAGCAGGGTCCCACTCCAGCCCCCCAGGAGGGTGAAATGGAACGGGAGCCGTGACAAGCAGGCCCTGAATTAGCAGGCTATGACTAGAATAATTTTCCCCAGACTTCTCTGGCAAAAGTAAGCTATTCCTCCTGCAGAGACGCCTCTTGAGTTTATAACTTTTCAACTGAAATGTTTTTCTGAAGTAATTACAAGGCACCAGTGAACACTGAGTAGAGGTTACTATTTTAAATGATAAACTATTTTAATTGTAAGAGAAATAAACAATGGGATATTTGAATTGCTTATAATGACGGATACACAGAGAGGCACAGAACAATATATTTATAACTGGAAACCACAGGTTAAAATATAACATTAAATATACATAAGGATATAATCTATCCATGCTCTTGTGAAATTGTAGGGTTCAAGACGTGATGTGATTGTTCTATGGGTTACTGAATAGTAGAAAAAGAATTATATGCAAACAGTATGGAAAAAGACAACATGATAGTAAGACAGCTTGGGCTTTGGTCCCTTTCTCCTCTTCTCTTCCCCCCTTAACTCCACAATCTGGATTTTGCCACCACTCCTGGGCCTACCACTCACCTACCCCAACCTCCTGGAAACTACTTTTGCCAACAACGTAAACTCATTGTTGCTAAACTCAAGGACACTTTTCATCTTTGTCTTATTTGATCTCCTGCCACAGCATTTGCCTCTGTGGCAAACGCCCTTCTTTCTGGAATCACTCAGTCTTGACTTCCTTGACATCATCTCTCTCGGACGTCACCTTATCACCTGATCCACCCCTTCTCAGTCTCTTTGCAAATGCTTCTTTGTTTTTGATCCCCTCACTGTTGTTACTAAAGGTGCATCATAGGTCCTTTTTTCCTTTCTCAATGTACATTATTTCCCCAGTGACTTCATCGGTTCCAGTGACTTCAAGAGCTTTCTCCTTGCTAAAGGATGTCCTAATCTATACCACCAGGCCAAGTCTCTCTCTCCTGTGCTCCAGGCCGATCGGAGCTAACTGTTTACAGGACAACTGTATCAGTTATCTATCGCTGCACAACAAATCCCCTCAAAATAGTGGTGCAAATCCATGACAGTTGTTTTACTCCTGAATCTGGAGGTCAACTGGGCTCAGCTAGGCAGTTCTCACTGTGTCCAGGTCTCAGGAGTTGTGGTCAGACAATGGCTGGGGTTGGGATCATCTCAAAGTCTTCATTCACATGTCTGTCATCCAGGTTGGAAGACTTGATTAGCTGGAGACTTAAACTCTGGACAATTTCTCTCTATATGTATGTATGCAGTCACTCCTCTGGGTGGCCAAACTTCTAACATGACAGTTGAAAGTTCTGAAAAAGAGTCCATGTTCAGACGTGATGTCCTCGTGTTTGGAACTGATCTGACATTTACAGCCAGGTCATGTTATTCTCCTGTTGGACATAAGCAATCTCATAGAATACTGACCTCAGACAAGGTTACTCTGAGACCATAAGATAAAACAAGACCACTTCATAATGTTGTGTAAGCACAGGTAAAAATGCCACTATGACATCTATAAAATATCCAACCATAGCATTAACTCCACTTTCTGACAGCATCCAATCTGGACCAAATCTATGCTTCTTTTTTTTTTTTTAAGATTTTATTTATTTGACAGACAGAGAGAGAGAGAGCACAAGCAGGGGGAGCTGCAGGCAGAAGGACAGGGAGAACCAGACTCCCTGCCAAGCAGGAAGCCCAATGTGGGGCTTGATCCCAGGACCCTGGGATCATGACCTGAGCCGAAGGCAGACATTTAACTGACTGAGCCACCCAGGTGCTCCAAATCTATGCTTTCTCAAACCTTCCCCCAATCACCCAACCAAATCCCAAATCCTATAATAGGTTTTTGCTAACACCTTCTTACTGAAACACTCCACAGTTCCCATGATGTTCATTCTTCCCTGCTGCAAGTAATAAATGCAACCTGTTTAACTGCAAAGGTGTTCCTGATGAACTTGAATTGAAGAGCACTGGCAGGTCCCAAAATAATCATCTCCAGAGAAACCAGCATGGCCTTTTCTAAACTAGCCTTGTATATCACATAGCATCACTTCTGCATGTTCTAAGGAAAAAAGATGTGATGACCAGAGAAAAGGAAGTCTGGAAAAGAGGTATGTGGACGAACTTACGGGAATGAAAATAAAGCAGATCTCACATTAATGCCCACAAAAGAGCATACACTACAGAGAAGACTCTCAATGACCATATGCACAGGATGATCCATCCCGTGACTCTTGGCTAGCCCCCTCTTCAGACATCCCAGTGCCTATGCCAGAAGCCCATAAATGGTGGTCATAGTGCTGCACTCGAGGCCACCCCCTGCTGAACGCACTTCCACTGCTGAGTTCCCAACCCGTCGGCAGCAGAGTCTGATGCCAAGCCCTTGCTATAGCACCATTCTTCGGGGAAACTAGCCAAGACACCTGATAGAATATTAATTATATCAGAACCCAACTACCTGAGAGCAGATAGCAATTTGTCCTTACCAATATCAACACATACTTTGGATATGCCTTTGCCTTCTCTTCCTTCCAGTGCTTCCACCAGCACCACCATCCAAGGCTACCAAGCACTACAGAATATTTGATTCATCAAATATAAATATATTTATATTATTTTATATCATTTATATTTATATTAAAAATATAAATAAATAAACTTCTCAAATCACTACGTTGTACACCTGAAACTAATGTAACATTGCATGTCAACAACACTCGAATAAAAAAGACAACTTTTCAAAGCTATGGTGTCCCTTACAATATTGCCTAAAACCAACTCACCATTTAACAGCAAAGAAGTGCGGTAACGTGCTCATTATCATGAGAGCCCAGGCTGGTGCTGGTCTGGAAAAGCAGTTCCTTGCTGCGGCTGAGTGTGGTTGAGTGGGAGTTGGTCTGCCCTTGCGGCTCCGTGCAGGGGACCAGAGGTGCTCTGTAGAAGTGGCCCCATGATTGCTGGTGGGTACAGACAGATGAAAATGCTCCGAAGAGGCCGCTGATAGAGAGAGATGGCCCGAGGGTGCAGCTCAAGTTCCTCCTTAATACTGCTAGGCTCTCACAGTCTCTGCCTGGAGGACTGCAACCTGAAAGGGTCTTCCTGCAACTACCTCATTACAGCGCCCTCTATTGATAAAACTGAACATCCAGCCCGCTGGCAAAAAAAATGCCCAGAGGGCTTAGCTACAGTAACACAGAGAAGGTGAAGAAGGATGGATTTGGAGCTCAGAGTTAATACGCCGCTAACGGGCACCTTGCAAGTTCTAACTAGAACTATGGTTCTAACTAAAGCTAAAACTATTGTTCTAACTAAAATATTGTTCTAGCTAAAACTATTATCAGCATTCACATAATTTTTTTGTGGCTCTTACGATTATGTTCGTTAGGATAAATTTTTTTTTTAAGATTTTATTTATTTGACAGAGAGAGAGATAGCGAGAGAGGGAACATAAGCAGGGGGAGTGGGAGAGGAAGCAGGCTTCCCTCCTAGAGCCCGATGCGGGGCCCGATCCCAGGACCCTGGGATCACTACCTGAGCCGAAGGCAGATGCTTAACGACTGAGCCACCCGGGTGCCCCTCGAATAAATTCTAAGAAACAGAATCACCGAGTCCAAAGATTTAAACATTTAAAATCTTTGGATATAGAATAATAAAGCTTCTTTATCACGATGTGCAAATTTATGTTCACGCCAGTAGAATATGAATATATAAAGAATAAGCAAGGCCTGGGCAGTTCTAGGAGTTTGATATTCTGGAACAAACTCTTGACAGTTGAGTGAGCTAGCTTAGCATGACCAGCTCCTGTTCTCTACTCATGTTCTTTGGAGTCTTTCACTAAGGTAATTTTGGTTTATTTGTTTATTCAAATGGCTATCAAAGCAGAGATAAAACTAAAATTCTAATGGGGGGAAATTGTTTTTTAAATGAAACATGAGAATATCCACAAGTAATAGCTGATTCTTGAAAGAAATGTGACTCAAGAAGGCCAAAAAGCCATGTCTGCATTTTGGAATTGAAAACGGGAAATGTTCAAGATGTCCCCTCACTTCTGTCAAGGTTCTCTTCTGATACACTAACCTGCAGGGTTGCTGTGGGGATCAGTAATAACACATGTAAAGCACACAGGAGGAGACAATAAACAGGAGCTGTATTTCCTGAGAGCATTGCTCTTGTATTGCTAAAAATCCAATTGTATATATTCTTCATTTTGCCAAAGTTGTTTTCATTAAGGATGGAAACGCTTCTCGTGCCCAAGCTAAAAGTGCGTTACAATAAAATGTTAAGCCCCGATGACTATTAGTTACAGATTCGATGGTATTTCTTCCCAGCTTCTTAACGAATACCATTTGTCTTCTTTAACTGCTTTTGCTGAAATAAACTCTCAATGCAGTGAGCAGAAGTGGAAGGCAATCAGATATTACATGATCTTTGCATTTGTCTTTGGTTCCAATATACTTAATTTGCATTAGCATTTGGGCACTTACTCTGCCCATGTTGTAATAAGCCATTTGCATTGCGTCTTCATCCTAAGACTCCTTGAAGCAAGAGCCCATTTTAACAAACTATATCTAGCATTGTGCTTTGCTTTTTCCTTAAAAATCAGGTGTTGCAGAGGCGCCAGTGTGGCTCAGTCAATTAAGCATCTGCCTACGGCTCAGGTCATGATCTCAGGGTCCTGGGATCGAGTCCATGTCCCACATGGGGCTCCCCGCTCAGTGGGGAGTCTGCTTCTCCCTCTGTGCCATCCCCTTGTGCTCTCTCGCGCGCGCTCAAATAAATAAATAAATAAAATCTTTTAAAAAATAAATAAATAATCAGGTCTTGCAAATACAAATGTTTTCATGTGCCAGGCATGTATCAGAAATTAATGAAGCAGGAATAATATAAAATAATAGGGAAACTGGAGAGGCATTTTTATAGAATGAAATAAATAACATAAAATAGAATAAAACAAAACAAAACATACTCTTAGGGGAAAAAACTATAAGCTACATTAGACTATAAGACAACCTGTTTATGACATCTGTATAAATCTTGGGTGAACTGAATTAGAAGCTGAAGTAGTGCTAAGAAAAAAACTAAAAATGGAAGAACCAAAGAAATCAGGACTCAGGCCCGAGCCAGAAGTCCCACTGCTTCCAGCCCGGTCTCTATAACCCCTCGCTCGCTCTGCGTCTCCCTCCCACAGCCATGACCCCACCACCTCCCCCTCCCTCCTCATATCATTTTCCCCAGTGCACTGCATTTGAGACCTTGATTTTTTTCTTATGGTAAAACTCACATAACATAAAATACCCCATTTTCACACTTTAACGTGTAAAATCCAGTGGCAATTTGTACATTCATGGTGTTTTGCAACCATAACCACTATCTAGTTCCAGAACATTTTCATCACCTCAAAAAGAGACCCTACCCATTAAGCAGTCCCGCCCCACACTCCTTTTCCCAGCCCCTGGCAATGACTATTGGATTTTTGTGAGACCTTTATTTTTGCTTTCCCTTGCATGCTCGGTTCAGCCAACATCGAAAGAAAATCAGAGCAGAACTCAGGTCTGATAAGATGAGAAGACAGGGCGCCTGGGTGGCTCAGATGGTTAGGCGTCTGCCTTCGGCTCAGGTCATGATCCCGGGGTCCTGGGATCGAGTCCCACATCGGGCTCCCTGCTCCTTGGGAGCCTGCTTCTCCCTCTGCTTCTCTCCCTCTGTCTCTCATGAATAAATAAATAAAATCTTAAAAAAAAAAAAAAGATGAGAGACAGACACAGAGTTAGGGCAGAATAAAGCTCCCTGGATGCAAAGTTAGGAAAGTTTCATTAGATAATTTCCCTATTGAGGTTTCTTTCCTGTTCCCCATTGGGTGTTTCTCCTTTTTGTTCCCTAAATCGTGGTCAATTATATTCTGTTGCCCCGCAAATACTTTTGGTTTATATTTTGAGTCAGCTGAAAATGAATTTAAAATGCCTGGTGTAAAATAAAATCTTTAAAAAATAAAAGAAAATAAAAAATAATATCTTTTTTTAAAAAAAGAGGGACACCTGGGTGGCTCAGTCAGTTAAGCGTCCGCCTTCAGCCCCGGTCATGATCCCACGGTCCTGGGATCGAGTCCTGCATCAGACTCCTTGCTCAGCGAGGAGCCTACTCCTCCCTCTGCCCGCCACTCTCCCTGATTGTGTTCTCTCTCTCTCTCGCAAATAAATAAAATCTTTAAAAAAATTAAAAAGTACAAAATAAAATAAAATAAAATGCCGGGTGTAAACATTCACGCATTCCGTCGGGTGCCAAAGGACTTTCCTTGGCTGACTCAGGATTGTTGATTGATGGTCTCAATCTCCTTGGAAATCACTTGGAGACTTTTGAGAAGGATCCCCCTGCAAGGCTGAATTTCTCTGAAATGGTGAATTGCCAGCTAGTTACACAATGCATTGAAAATATCTCTTGAGGTGCAGCACAATCACTATAAATCTACACAGACCAGACCTTGAGTTTCTTGGAGGTCAATCTTTAGTCACTTATTTGTGAGGCCATGGAAAATTCACTTGTACCAAATCTGGCCATTTTTCTCTAGCTCTAGGAGATAAACAAAAAGATTTGTGCACACAAATATGAATACAGGTTAACTTCGAAGTAATACAAATGTAATTTTAAAAGTATAACCACATTTTCTACTTTTGAATTATGTCTTTGCTTTGCTTGGTAAAGATGGTCTTCTTGGGCAAATCACCTCAATTTTGGGGGATCTTCTTTGCTCATCTTTAAAATTAAAAAAGTTTACCTAGATCAGTAGTTTCTTACTCAAGGTATCAAAATCTGAACACAGGTGTTGTCTCTACTCTGAAAATAATATATCTTTCCATTCATAGGCTATCATTTTTAAAAAATATTTTGATTTTTTAGTTTAATAGATTTTGTTACATTATATTGTTTATATTTAGGAAATACAAAATTATTCATGCTAACTATAGAAAATTGGAAAATAAAGAGAAGATAAAATAAAATCACCTGTAATCCTGCCACACAGATATAGTGACTATTCACATTTCACTCATTTCACTGTGTATTCATCCACTTTTCTTTCTCTGCATACTTATACCTATGTTATATTGGCCAAGCTGAAATATACTATAACCATGATATTTTATAACTTGTGTTTTTACTTAATCATGTATCTTAAATCTTTTCCTAAATCATGAATTATTTTTCTACAAGTTTTAAATGACACTCTTATATGTGAGTACATGTTATTTTTGAATATTTAGATGGTTTCCAATATTTTATTTTTTTTAACAATGCTCCTATGAACATCAGTGATGTGATTACGTTCATATCATTGTGAATTAAGAATTGTTATTTTGGGCGTGCCTGGGGGGCTCATTTGGTTGAGCCTCTGACTCTTGGTTTCCGTTCAGGTCATGATCTCGTGGGTTGTGAAACAGCCCTGCAAAGGGCTTCATACTCAGTGGGGAGTCTGCTTGAAAGATTCTCTCCCTCTTCCCCTCCCCCCACTCACTCTCTCATGCTCTCTCTCTCTAAAAGGAATTTTTTTTTTAAGATTTTATTTATTTGAGGGAGAGAGAGAGCACAAGCAGGGGGAGCGGCAGGCAGAGGGAGAAGCAGGCTCCCCCCTGAACAGGGAGCCCCATGCAGGACTCGATCCCCAGGACCCCGGGATCATGACCTGAGCCAAAGGCAGATGACTGAGCCACCCAGCCACCCCAGCATTATGAATTTATAGTGATGTTTCAAATCCCAACTTATGATAATAAAGTTTTTACTAATTTCTTTAATTTTACATTTTATCTCTTTTTCTTTATTCATACTGGACAATCAAGCATTTTTCATGCCCAGAAAAAAAAAATGTATGAATAGTTCTTGAAAAAGAAAATGCCCTCTTATCTCTCTAATTTTTTACTTAATCTTGCATATAATAATAACATTTAAATACATAATACAAAATGAGATATAAGCAACTTATGATTGTAGTTCTTATATAATAAAACGAAACAACCTGACAAACTCAAAGCAAACAGGCCTACAATGCTAATAATGCTGAGTTCAACAACACTAATTTAACTTGACAGATAATAATGGCTTTCATAAAGTGGAGCCATTCCCTTCATTGTGACCATTGTACGGATTTGGGAGAAAGGGGGGCAGGTTCTTTGGAATTTGGTTCACTCATTCCCATGTGCCCTTCTTATGGTCTGATTTTTCACCCGTTAACTCTATTCAACTGACTGAAAACCACAGCAGACCAGCTTTATTCCATCATTTGGCCTCAATTACAAACTAGGTTGACCTCTGTTCCCATATGTTCTTATTCAACAATTGCAGATACATTGCTTAGTTCTAACACAGCCCCCATTGTAAGTCAGTACTCAGCTCCGAGGTTCAATCTGATGATCCTAAACATTACATACAAACCCTGGACATTATATATAATATGTATATATATATATATGAATAAACACACATTTTCATTTTAACTTTCCCCAATGTGAAACACTGGGGGAGCAGTAGAGCTAAGATTCAAACTCAGATCTTTCTGTTCCACTAAACCGCCCAAACTAAAATAGGCCAGTGGTTTTTCAGGACTTGGGGGAAATGAAGGCACAAGTGGTTATGATGTGCTGAGAGAGGCCTGGGATCTGGATGCAGATAATTGTAGCAAGCTCCACTACAAGCCAGCCTTGTGACTTCAGCTTCCTCATCTATAATGTGAATGGGTTAGATCATGGCCCTTTATAGTTCCAAAATTCTGTGAATTTCCTATACCAAATACCCCTTTGATGAAGAGGAATGACTTATACAATATTCTCCCTTTTTGCTGTGGAGTTTCTAATTCCATGTAAACATCAACCAATGAGGTCAAAGAAGAACTGGGCAATTATTCCAAATTTGGGAAGTGTCTGTTCCAAATAATTTAATACTAAAAGGATGACCATTTGATTGAAGGATATGATTAAAAAAAAAAACATCTATCACACTATCTTGGAATCCTGCTAAAAGTAGAAAAGACACTTTAGAAACCACTCAGAACAACCCCTCATTTTACTGATGCAGGTTTCTGTGATTTCCCCAAGACCAAACAGCTTGTTTGTACTATAGACAGATGATTTATTACCTGGGTTATTAATATCTAACTTACCGTAATGCCCTCAAAATTATCTTCTCATATTCACCACCAAAAATATAGAAGAGGAAAGCAGTATAAAAAAGTGGTTAAGTATAGGCTGTGAAATTAAATTGCCGGCCTGCAAATTCCAACAGCAACACGTCCTGTGTAATGTTGAGACAATGACGTAACGCCTTCTACCTCAGTGTTCTCCATCTGTAAAATAAGGGTGACAATAACTGTACATACCCCCCAGTTAATCAGGAGAATTAAAATAGTAACCCATGTAAACTGTTTCGTATATTGCCTGGAACATAGGAGATAACCAATATTAGCCAGGATTTTAAAATTAAATTGTGTATGTAATACATTGGCTCAATTTGGTTGAATGTCTCTCTTGCATTTCTTTCATTCGTATTCAGGGTCAGAATTAGTCTAAACCGATCTTACAAGGATTGTCAATCTACAAATTAGACGATGACAAAAGTGCCCACTAGGAAAACAGGAGCTCTAAAATTAATTCTAAGACTAAAACAATATAGGGCAGTTTTCCTACTGCAGTACACTAAGGTCAAAGGGTTCTCTTGAAAAGCTTGCAAAAACAACTCTGATATCACATATAAGTAACATCTCATCCACTGTTCTCCAAATTTTTGTCCCCCATTAAGCAGACGATGATTTGATTTTTGCCAGTGTATGGACATGGCTTTACCATCACCATATTTAAGTGACAGTGATTAAATCCTTTAACACATTGTGTATGAATTTCAAAGGCCTTTATGACTGTTTATCTCATCTTTATGGACCTTTAAACTTAATAGCTTTGGTGGCAATAAAAAAGTGACTTCCAAAAGTCAAGCATCTCTTCAAGGCCACTGCTAGGCTGTTCAGCTGATCAAAATTATGATGTCACCCAGACACAGAGCTCCATGTGTCCTTGTCTTCAACTTGTCTACTAACAGACAATGTGTGGGGGGTGGAAGGGGTGTGGGCAGAATTTGTGTTCTCCTGTCATTAAACAAGGACATTAGTCAAACGAAGTATCAGTTCAGTTCAGGAAACACAAATGTTGCAATTTTGCTTGGGTTTAGTAGTTTGGGGATAGTACATAGGTTCATTTAAAACTCACAGTACAGTAAGTCATGTCAGAATCACCCGTTCCTCTCCTTCCCCTTCTGAAATGTTAAGGTGGCCAGTCTGAAACACAGAGCCCTGGATGATTATAATCATAAGAACCAGCTCAGGGCCACATTCCCTGACATACCATTCCTAACCATTCATTTTTCCAACTGTCATTCTCCTTCCCTTTCCCTGCGAATAAAATGTCCCCCCTCTCCCAACTCCTGAGACCTTCATTAATGGCCTCTCTTCTCCACTAGCCCACCCGCTGACTTGCACACAGAGACAACACACCCTCTTTCTCAGGCCCAGCTACTCATCCCCACCCCCACATACCTACCACCCACACTTACACCATGTTAATAATTATTCCTTTGGACCAAATGTAACCCTTTCACCAGGCAGTCCTTACTCTGAACTAGCAAGCCAAGGAAAATCCAAGACACAGCCGCAGGATGCCAGACAGATACAATTTTGCTAAAAGAGGCATGAACACTTTCACTATCTATCCAAAAGACACTTAGGGGCAAAAAGAGTAAGTTAAGGTGGATTAATATGCCTAATGATTTGAGGGATGAAAAAATTTCTGAGGACACCATCACATTTCCTATAAATGCATTGTAACCCAGTTTTCTAAGAAGTACTGTAAAATAATGTTAAAACTGGAGCCAGGGAAAAAAAAAGCTATAGAATTAATTCTGTGATTCTTTTCACTGAGTCACATTGATATGGTGAGCAAATTGACAATCTACTTAACCTTTCCAAGACCAAATTTCTCAACCTCAGGAGTGTTGGTATTTTAGAGTGGATAATTGTTCGTTGTGTAGAAAAGTTAGTGGTATCCCTGGCTTCTGCCCAGTAGATGCCAGTATCCCCCTACCTCCAGTTGACATCATCAAAATGTCCCCAGACATTGCTAAAAATCCCCTAGGGGGCAAAATCTTCCCAGATTGAGAACCACTCTCATAGATTAGACAGAAGACTGCTTGTCTTCTGATCAGGGATCAGTAAAACTACAGCCTATATAGTCCAAAAGGAAAACCCATTGCCTGGTCTTTGTAAATAAAGTTTTACTGAAACACAGTTACACTCATTTATTTACTTAACATCCATGGGTGCTTTCTCCCTAAAACAGCAGAGTCTAGGAGTGGTGACATTGTGTGATGTATTGTATGACCTGCATAACCAAAAATATTTACTATCCAGTTCTTTAGAAAAAAAGTTTGCCAACCTCTGCCCTAGTCTACTGGTTCCAAACATCTTTTTAGTGATGACATCTTTTTATAATGAAATCTTATATAAAACTTGTGTCAGACGGGCTCCAGATGGAACATTCAACTCGGGTAATTTGAGGAAGTGAAGCATATGCAGAATAACTTATAAAGGCAATTTCAAAGGTGTGGCAGAATATAGAGAAATCCCAAAGGGCTAAGAAAGCTGGGTGTTCTTACCACCTCTAGGCCTGAAGGGGAGAGAACGAGACGACTCTGTAGGAAGGGAACCAGAGGACTCAATGTCCCCCTCACATTTTCCCTCCCTCCAGTCTCACACGTGTGTTCCCTAATGGCCAAATCCAAACCGAGGCCAGAGGACAAGACAATGCCTTGAGGGGATCCTTACAGGTCAGTCTCCCAGGTCATAGGTGGAGAGTGGACCCGGGGGGCAAACAAAAGATACCCAGCATCAAGCCCTAATATCTGAAACTGATCAAAATCAAGCATCTGTGATGCTTAGTGGGGGAAGGTATTAAGATCAGCACAGATTGGCCTGACTCTGACATACTCATCAAGTCGAAACAGGGATCGCAGTTTGAAAATCCTCTTCTGAATTCTCTGCTGACCTTCTCACTTCATTTGCCACCTCTCTGAAACAAAATCCCGTAGTCAGATATGTCAGTGCTGTTTTTCCCAACAAACTGCGATCCTTAAACCCACTGGCACCATTTAAACCTTTGAACCCCAGCAGGTACCAGACTCCCCCACTCCCACCCACCCCGATCCTCTGCCTTCTCTGCTCACGTCCTCAAATTGCTAAACATTGATAGAAACATTTTCAATACGCTGATTTCTGAATCCACCTCAATGTCATCATATCGGGGCAATAATAGGAGTCTGTTTGCTCAGCTTCCCATGACTTTCAGTCCTCAACGAAAACTGAGCTCAAGGTGGCTCAGTCGTTAAGCGTCTGCCTTCGGCTCAGGTCATGATCCCAGGGTCCTGGGATCGAGCCCCGCACCGGGCTCCCTGCTCCGCAGGAAGCCTGCTTCTCCCTCTCCCACTCCCCCTGCTTGTGTTCCCTCTCTCGCTTTCTTTCTCCCTGTCAAATAAATAAAAAAAATCTTTAAAAAGAAAATAAAAAATGAAAACTGAGCTCAATATCTTAATCACCAAATCTGATAGCCTTTTCCTAAAACCTCATCTGCCTTAACCTCTCTGGAGCCAACAGGCTCATCCCTTGCTCTCATCCTTCCTTCCTGACTGATTTCTTCCTTTGGCTTCCATAGCACCATATAGTCTAGGGTTTTTATCTCATACTTTGACCACCTCCTCTTTGTACCCTTTGCAGGTACTTTTTTTTTTTAATTTAAATTCAATTAACATACAGTGTGTTATCAATTTCAGAGGTAGAGTTCTGTGATTCATCAGTTGCATATAACACCCAGTGCTCATTACATCACGTGCCCTCCTTACTGCCCATCACCCAGTGACCCCATCCCCACACCCCACTCCCCTCCAGCGACCCTCAGTTTATTTCCTAGAGTTAAGAGTCTCTTATGGTTCATCTCCCTCTCTGATTTCATCTTATTTTATTTTTCCTTCCCTTCCCTGTGATCCTGTTTTGTTTCTTAAATTGCATATATGAGTGTAAATGATATGATAATTTTGTTTCTCTGATTGAGAAAACACTCTCTAGTTCTATCTACATCGTTGCAAATGGTAAGATTTCACTTTTTGATGGATGAGTACTATTCCATTGTATATATACACCACATCTTCTTTATCCATTCATCTGTTGTTGGACATCTGGGCTCCTTCCATAGTTTGGCTATCGTGAACGTTGCTGCTATAAACATTGGAGTGTGGGCACCCCTTCGGATCACTTTATTTGTATCTTTTGGGTAAATACCTAGTAGTGTAATTGCTGGGTCATAGGGTAGCTCTACTGTTAACTTTTTAAGGAAGCTCCATACCGTCTTCCAGAATGGCTATACCAGCCCCTTTACAGGTACTTCTGATTGAAGGAAAGAATTTTCTCCAAAGGACCTAATAATAAATCATGACCCCAACAGTACAATGAAAGCAAATAAAATGAGTAGTTTCAGAAGGCTATGTCTTGTAGAACACCAGTAACGTTTCTTGGAGAATTAAAAATCTTGTAAATAAGTAGTTTTCCATACAACTACTAAATAACAAGATATCATTTCCCTCCAAACCTTCCTCAAACCTTCCTCCATTACTCATTTCTCTTAATGTTCCCATTTACTCAGATTTGAAACCTCAGACTGAGGAGAGACTGGAATTTTAGGCCTGGAAGAGAAAGTCATCTACTTCGATTTCAGCATTCTACGGATGAAAATTAACTTCCCATTGCCTTTGCCTTGGTAAGGATTCTAAGGAAATATTGCAGCCCCTCCTTTTATTAGCCATTCCTACTTGGCCTGCGAAATCTTATTATAGTGTTAACGCTCTCCTCTGTGAAGGGCTACCAGTTCTCTACAGGCTTTAGTCTGTGTGATAGTTAATTTTGCATCAATTTAACTGGGCCACGGGCACCCAGACATCTGGTCAAACATAAACAGGGGTGTGTTGGATGGTGTTTCTGGTTTTTAATGTGTTGAATCGATAGATTACATAAAGCAGTTGCCTTCCCTAATATGGGTGGGCCTCATCCAATCAGTTAAAAGTCTAAATAGAACAAAAAAAATGCTGAGTAAGAGAGAATTCTTTCCACCTGGCTACCTTGAAGCTGGGACATGGGTTTTTTTTTTTTTTTTTTTTTTCTGCCACTTGCATACTCAAATGGAAACATTGGCCCTTTCTGAGACTTGAGCCTGGCCAGCCTTCAGACTGAAACTACACCATCAGCTCCCTGGGGTCCCCAGCTTGCCAACTGCAGAGCTTGGGACTTATCAGCCTCCATAATCATGTGAGCCAATTCCTTATAATAAATCATATCATCAGCTATATATATGTATGTATGTGTGTGTATATATATGATTTATATATAGGCAGTATAAACTGCTTGAATTTGAATATTGACTCTGGCATTGACAAGTTTTGAGAACTTGGGCAATGTATTCGATTTCTGTTCTTTAGCTTTCTCATATGTAAAATGGGAGAAACATCTGCTTCACATGGTTGTGAAGATTACGTGAGTTAATACATATAAAATGCTTAGACTAGGGCCTGGCACAAAGGGCATGCTGAAAAAATACTAGCTGTTTCTCCTCCTCCTCCTCATTATTATTATTCCTCCCTCGCTCCCTCCTATCTCTCCATCCTTCCTCCCTTCCCTCTCTCCCTCCCATGCTCCCCACTCAAACAGCAGTGACAGAGCGGGACCTCCTTGTAGGGCAGGAGAGGGAAAGGGAAAAAGGAGTTATACCAAAACTCCTTTTAATAGGCACACAGGGAGAAAAAACTGGGAACCCTTATACCTCAATAACTTTAGTTTCATCATAGTTGGAATTCATGATTAACCCTTGCAATCCTTGAACACCTAGCTACTTTAATTCCCACAGCTGGTTCATGAACTTCCTTTGTACCTGTTTTTTGCTTTGCTGAAATTATTTCCCCCATCAGCTCATCTTACCTGCCCATCTGGTGAACTCCTCCCTGTCAAGCCTACTGATCAGGAAGTCTTCCCTACAGCAGCCCCTACTCTCACCCCTGCAGAGCGCACCTCCACACCCTCCAAACTACCACTCTGCCCTGCACATTTCTAGTATGGTGCTTGTCACAGGGAATGGTGACACTTAATTTTTGTACCATATCTGCTGACTCCACTACTCAGTGAACTGAGGCCCAAACCCCACTTTGCATACCTACCTAGCACAGAATAGACATCCCATAAGTTCTTGTTGACTGAATAAGTCAATGGATGAATAAAATGGGAAAAAATTCCACTTTGCCCTTATTGAGTTGGAACTCCCAATAGTACACCCTGTTGGATATTTTAAACTTGGTTTTGAAAATATTGGACTAAGACTCAAAACTGTTAGTCAGGATTCCCCACAGAAACAGAACCATTAAGATAGTCTAGAAAACATAAACTAAACTATACTAACGGAAAGCAGATCAGTGGTTGCCTGATAGAGAGAACTTTTTGGGGTGATAGAAATGTTCTGTATATTGATCATGGTAGTGGTTTCACAGAATATATATTTGTCAAAACTCATTGAAGTGTACCTTTTTTAATTTATTATATTTTAAAATTCCCTATGATGTACTTTTTATCTCTGTGACTTATTTTGTAACTGGAAGTTTATACCTTTTAAATAGATAGAGTTTATTATATGTAAAACATATCCCAATAAAGTTGATTTAAATTTATTGAAACCTAAAAATCAAAACAAAACAAAAAGCCTAGGCATTTTAGCACCAGAGGCTGGCATCAACTACTATGCTAACTCCTGGAGTTTTTTATTTAGAATACACCCTAGGGCACTAATCTTCAGAACATTTACAAATTTGTTTGACAAAGAACTTCGAACGTCTCTTTAATAAAAATAACTCAACCCCAGAAAGCATAATCTCTATGATAGTCACTAAAAACATTTCAATGTCATATTTCATGAACTGATCAAAATATTTTAAGTAATATAAATACATAAATTTTTGCAGAATACATGAATTTTTATTTTTAATCCAACCGTGGTAGCCAACCTCAAAGATGACCACCAATGATTCCGTCTCCTGGAATCCATACCCTTGTATGGTCCTTTCCCACATTTTACCAGGATTGGTCAGTGTGACTAATAGAATATGCAGAAGTAATGGTCCTAAAATTAGATTGTAAAAAGACTGAATATCCCATCTTGGGTGCTCTTTCTCCCACTCCCTCCCTCCCTCTCAGATCACTAGCTCTGGGAGAAGCCAGTGGCCATGTCATGACATGAGTTGGCTTGCCTTTGGAGAAGCCCACATGGCAGGAACTGAAATCTCAAGCTATAAGGCAGCCAGGAACCGTGAGGCCTTCCAATAGCCACATGAGTGAGCTTGGAAGGTCGTCCGGCCCCAGTCAATCTGTCACATGCGATGACAGCCCCAATCAACAGCTGACTACAACCTCATGGAAGATTGTTGTGTACTTAATTGTGTCTTCTCAAAAATTCATATTTTGAAGTCCTGATTCCCATTACCTCAAAGTGTGACTGTATTTGGAGAGGGCCTTCAAAGAGGCCCTTAAATTAAAATGAGGCCATTAGGGTGGGACCTAATCTAATCTCAGTGGTATCCTCATAAGAGGAGGTGATTTGCACTCAAAAAGAAACAGCAAGGTCGGTGTGCACAGAGAGGTGGCCATGTGAAGTAGTATGGAGATGGTGGCCATCCGCAAGCCAAGGAGAGAGGCCTCAGAGAAAACCAACCCTGCCAGCACCTTGATCTTAGACTTTTAGCCCCCAGAACTGTGAGAAAATAAGCTTCTATTATTTGAGCTACTCAGTCAGTGGTATTTTGTTATGGCAGCTTTCACAAATAAGTACAGAGACGCCAGAAACACCCAGTTAAGCTGCTCCTGGATTCTGACCCACAAAAACTGTGAGATAATAAATGATTGCTTTAAGCTGCTAAATTTGGAGGTAATTTGTTATTCAGCAATAGATAAGTAATACATCACCTAATTACTTGAATTCCTTGTGATATGGTGACAAGTGATTTGCCTTTCTAAATCTGTGTTGTGATTAAATGCCATATTGTTTTTGGCATATGTTACAAATAATTCTTTTGTTGCCTGAACTGTCCAGAAACTATTCATTTGTGGAACCTGTTTCCATCCACATTATTTAATTTTAAAGGGAAGAAAATAGTATATAAACAATGGTTAACTATACGTATTTTAGAAACAATCTATTTTACAAAATTTTCCCTCAATACTTTTGCCTCTTTTCTTTTTTTATCAAGCTATAATCAACATATAACATTGTGAACGTTTAAGGTGTACATGTATTGATTTACATACAACCAATACATACACTCATGTATTGCCATATGATTGCCACCATCGCTAACCATAGCTAACACCCTATCATGTCACATAATTATCATTTCCTTTTTGTGATGAGAACATTTAAGATCTAGTTTCCTAACAACTTACAAATACATAATACAGTTTGGTTCACTATAATCACAATGCTGTGTATTACATCCCCCACAATTTATCTTCCAAGTGCAAGTTTGTACCCTTTGACCAACATCTCCCCAATACCCCTGTCCTCAGCTCCTGGCAACCACCATGCTACTCTCTGTTTCTACGAGTCTTGCTTTTTTAGATTCCACATATAATTGATAACATATTTGTCTTCCCCATCTGATTTACCTTTTCAGATATTTAACACAGCCTGTATAAACTCATCTTATTTTCCTCTTGAAAGGAAGTTAGTTCTCAGAAATAAAGGAAATCCCTCTATCCCCTTGTATCACTACTCATCCTACATAACTTACTAGAGGTTCTTTAAACTGTTTTTCAGTTCTGATGATGAATATTAAGCCAATACATCTATCCCCTGATTCATTTACTACCTATTCACTAGAGTATTCATTTACTTATTTATGTATTTTTTAAGTAGGCTCCACACGGGGCTTGAACTCATGATCCTGAGATCAAGACCTGAGCTGAGATCAAGAGTTGGATGCCCACCTGACTGAGCCACCCAGGTGCTCCACTCGAGTGTCTATTTAATGCCCAGTGTGTGTCAGGCACTATTTAGGCATTGAGGATACAGGAGGAAGCAAAACAGATGAAAAAGCCCTGTTCACAGAGCTTGTGGAAGGAGACAGAATAAACAAGAAAAATAAGTAAAATATATAATACTTCACTGGATATATGATAAACAGGAAAATCACACCATCAGTGCTAGAAACATTTTAAGCCATCACTAGCTCACTTTAAACAGTGGGTAAAAATGTGAGGATGTTGGGCTGGTGAGTAAAGGAGTTTCTTTTTTTTTTTTTTTTAAAGATTTATTTATTTATTTTGAGCGAGTGAGAACGAGAGAGGGGAGGGTCAGAGGGAGAAGCAGGCTCCTCGCTGAGCAGGGAGCCTGATGCGGGACTCGATCCCGGGACTCCAGGATCATGACCTGAGCCAAAGGCAGTCGCTTAACCAACTGAGCCACCCAGGCGCCCAGTAAAGGAGTTTCTTATAAACAATTCCTTACTGATAATTTTTAGTAAATCTTGTAAACTTTCAGGGGTGTAGTGGTATATTCTTGTTTTAGTGTGGCTCATTTTTAAGCTAATTTTCATGGTTTGTCTCAATACGCAGTTCCTTTTTGTAGTTATGTTGAGGATTACAATGAGAGTTTCTCAGCAGAAAAATTGTAGATATTGCAATGCCTTCATGTGTGAAAATTGGCATTAAATTAAAAGCATATTGGGCATTAATGTTTTCTCCTTCATAATGAGATTATAATTACAGGAAACACTATTGCCAAGTGATGATGGCCCTTCCTCCCATTATATTCTGGGAAGATAGCTTTAAAATGAAGCATGACATGGCCATGGTCAGAGGAGATGTTTTATACTTAGCTTCAGAACATAGAAATATCTCTGACCTAGGGGCGCCTGGGTGGCTCAGTCAGTTAAGCTGCTGACTCTTCATTTCAGCTCAGGTCATGATCTCAGGGTCCTGGGATCGAGGCCTGTGTCAGGCTCCATGCTCAGTGGGGAGTCTACTTGAGGATTCACTCTCTCCCTCTGCCCTCCCCCCCCCACCCCGCTCCTGTGCAATCTCTCTAAAATAAATAAATAAACCTTTAAAAAAAAATTTCAGATCTAACTTATCCATGAAAAATGCTGCACATGTGTGTATGTGTGTATAAGAGAAAGAGAGAGCCAGAGAAAGAGACAGAATATTCTGGACATTATACATACATGGTTATAGACAGAGAAAAGAGAACAGGAAAACAAGCAATAAAAAAATCCTTGGTGTGTGGTCAGGCATGAAGTTGTAGCTTGGGCCTTCAGTGACCATAGACATGAGTTAACAAGCCAATAAAGGGGGTGTCCATTTTAGATGTTCAGAGGCCAAAGCACTTAAAACAAAGTGATTTACATGGCCAAGTTCCCCAGAGTCAGGATCATACCCTTATTCCCCAAGATGCCTTAAACATTGAGCCGAGCCATCTGTACAGTAGAAGAAATGATCTCCACAAAGTTATCAAGACCACCTCCCTACACAGTACTATAAATGCCACTGAATAAAAGAAAGTGAAAATGATCAGTAGTGGGTGGCAATCTTCTTTCCTCCCACCACCTCCCAAAACGACAAGCCTTAGACTAAACAGTAGATGCTCTTTATTTTTGTTATGAGTCAGGTTTGGCAATTTCTCTGTAATCAGAAATATTCATCGGTGAGAAAGTAAATTTCTATCTAAAGATATGAATGTTTTCACAAAAAACAACGTTCACATCAGGGAACATTAGTCACAAAACATACCAACAAAGTGCTGTCAGCGTAGTTTCTGGAATGGTGGTGGGCCTGCAGGTAGGAATTCACTAACAGGAAAATCACAGCAAATCATTATCAGATATAATTCTGGGTTCAGTCTAAGTCCATCGCTTATTGGCTGAGTGACCTTGAGTTGAGTGACTTGACTTGCTCAATCCTCAGTTTCTTCATGTGTAATAATGTCACAAAGGAGGAAAATAACGTTCCCTCTGCTTTCTGAGTTCTAGCTCAGACCCCTGTAGGAAAAGACAGATGAATAGGAGAAAAACAAATAGAAGTTTATTCACATGTGTGCCTCATGATGCATGAGAGATCCCCAGGGGAAAACGAGTCACTCTCTGGAGACATTCAGAACTGGGACTTCAATACCATCTTCAGCTTGAGACAAAAGAAAGAAAGGTGTGCAGAGGCCAGTTACAGGCAAGTTATTAGGAAATGCACGAGAAACACGGATAAAACTATTAGGCAGATTTCAGCCTGGTGCCTTCCCAGTTGATAAGACTCTGTGACTGAGTCATCCTTCTCTTCCAGATACCCAGAGGAAAACACTCTTGTAAACTGAGAGTTTCTTTATAAGTGTAAATTTCTTTTACAAAAGGGTAACTTCTACTTCAGAGCTTCTCCCGTCCCTGCTGCTTCTCACATAATCAGCTCAAAATAAAACTTATGCCCAGGAGGCAGAGTTTGGGGTGGCTTATTCAGCTACCCTTCAAAAGTGCCTGCATCCTGGGGTTGCCAAGAGGATTAAGAGGGCTAATACAAATAATGAATTCACAGAGCACAGCTGGAACATGGAAAGCACCCAATAAAAGTTAGCCGTTACTATTTCCGAGCAATGGTTTTCAACGTGTGGTCCCCGGACCAGCAGCGGTAACATCACCTGGGAACTTGTCAGAAATAGAAAATGTCCCAGACCCCTGAATCAGAAATGCTGGGGCAGGATCCAACACTCTGCTTTAAGAAGCCCTGCGGGTGATTCTGATGCGCACTGAAGTTCGAGAACTATGCTTGTAGAATATAGAGTAAGACAAAACATATATTCTGCTAGAATTTATTACTAAGAATTTCTGGGTTTTTGTGAATATTTAAATGCAGGAGAGAGTTTGATTTCATTTTTTTTTCCTAAATGCAGTGTCTTGGAACAGTAAGATTTCTGTAGGATAGCTCTTTCCATCTTATTTTTGATTTTGCTAGATAGAATACGTCACACCACACAACCGTGTTCCAGGAGATCTATTATTAAAGTGTCTATTTTGTAAAGCTGAAGCTATAATGAAAAAGCTCATTTAAAAGAGGGAGAACCTATGGTGTTGGTGGTCATCAAGAGACTGTACATTGGAACACAGGCCAACTGTCATTAGTCTTATTTCCATAAATGATATTGTACGACTCTAAGATTGGAGCATAGATAGGCATGCGCTGAGTCAGTTTCAGAGCCAGGTGCTGGTTGTAAAACAGGATTCTGAAGTCTATAGGTCCTATTGCTTGAATAGAGTCAGGAAGGTGTAGACACGGTTAAAGGTAAAATCGCTATTTAGAACTAAGTGTACCAAAGTGTACACTGCCATAGAGATTTCCTTAAGTGCACATTTAGTCATGTCACTGTACAGCTTAAAAGACTTAAATGACTCCCTTAAACCTGGCTTGTGAGAGCCTTTGTAATCTGGCATCTGGCCGACCTGAGGCATGAACTCCAATCCTGTAGTTAACACCTCCTCCATGGAGCCTTCCCTGGCAGCCCGCCCTCCATCAGTAGGAAGTCAGCCCCTCCTAACTCGGAGCTTCCCAAGCATGGTCTGCAAACCTCTGGAAGTCATTTTTACATCACATTTAATAATTGTTTGAATGTCTGGATCTCCACAAGACTTTTACTTCACTTTTACTGACATCAAGAAGCACATTTTCATTTTTGTTTTTCCACCTTTTGGCATAAAGCCCAGCACCAAAGAGACACTTAGTAAATTAAGACTTCCCATGGATCTAAAATGCGAGATCTGTGTGTGAGCCAAGGATCAGCCCAGGAAAACCCAGCGATCAGCCCAGGAAAACCCAGCAATCACCCGAAGCTTCTCTCCCCCTGTGGAAGGACCCGAATCTTTGAATTTTGAGAAAAAGCTCTGCCACTTCCAAGATTCAAGTATCATCCTCCTCTAGAAGATGTGATCTCCAAAGACAGAACATCTTATTTGTCACTGCTGTCTTCTGACAGACACAAAAATGCATTTCATGACGATAGTCTGACCCCAGGGCTGCCCAGGTGACTCAGTCTATTAAGCATCCGACTCTAGGTTTAGGCTCAGATCAAGATCTCAGGGTCTTGGGCTCCAGCCCCGCATTGGGTTCCATGCTGAGCATGGAGCCTGCTTAAGATTCTCTCTCTCTCCCTCTCCCTCTGCCCCTTCCCCTCTTCTAAAAAGAAAAAAAATAAAATAAAAAAGATATTCTGACCCCAAAGCTACTAAATTTGTTAGTTCATATTAGATTGAAACTCCAATTTTTTTAAATGATTTTCTTTTTTTTTTAAGATTTTATTTATTTATTTGAGAGAGAGAGAGAGCATGAGAGGGGGGAGGGTCAGAGGGAGAAGCAGACTCCCCACTGAGCGGGGAGCCCGATGCGGGACTCAATCTCTGGACTCCAGGATCATGACCTGAGCTGAAGGCAGTCGCTTAACCAAATGAGCCACCCAGGCGCCCCTGAAACTCCAATTTTTATCCCAGGCTCTAAGTCATGAGCTTTCTAGCTTCAAGATTTAAGTCAAAGCTGCAAAATCAACTGGTCTAGCAATTATAAAACAGCTGACCCCACATATCTCAGCCGATGGAGTGATCCTCCTGGCTCCAGAATCATGGTAATTATTTTCTTTTACCCAACCCGCCCCCCCCATCTGACTTCGCTCGCAGCCCTGCTACTATTTCACAAGTTCTCAGATGGGCATTTTAGAAGACTTTCGCTTCTCAGCTTGGCTTTGCTCTGGGCCCCTGCTATTTTACTCTTGCTAAATCATATAGCCTGAAGCATTTGGTCCGGGGTGGCTGGAACACCCAGCCAGTGGCAAATCGAGCCAGTTCCTTCCTTGGAGCACTCAATGCTTAGGAGTCCCAACACCTTGAATTAATTACGAATTGTTTGAGAATATCTTATTTGTTTGATGGCTCACGATTGTGTCTATAGCCATGTCTCTTAGGCCAAAAGATACATTTCCAGTGTTCGAGTGAATGGGAATAGTGGATAGATATGTATGGAATGACAATAACACCCCTCACCCTTTCCTACCCCCATTAAATACCCAGCTCCTCACTGTCGGCCTTGAAAAACCTATTGACAGTTCCCTGTTGCTGATTCTGAGAGGTCTGAGGCTCCTACTTTATTTTTCTTTTTTTTTTAAGCATTTATTTATTTGAGAGAGAGAGTCAGAGAGAAGGCACGAGGTGGGGGGGGGGGGGGGGGACGCGAAGTGGGAGAGCTAGGTTCTTGTCTCACAGACGGCAGATGCCCAACCAATTGAGCCATCCAGGCACCCCTGAGGCTCCTCCTTTCTTGGAAACTTCTGTGATGCTCTTTAGCAATGACCAATGGAAGCTGCAGTTCTTCATCCTTGCAGGGCTCTGTAAGGACTAATTCAGGTAAAATAAATAAAGCAACTGGTTGGCGTACAATACACACATTGGAAATAACCAATAAATGATAGTTATTATTGCTTTGGATTTTGGAGGCTTTATTAATTTCCTGGGGCTGCCATAACAAGTATCCCTAATTTGGGATAAACAAATCCCTAAATTGGCTTAAAATAACAGATATTTGGGGTGCCTGGGTGGCTCAGATGGTTAAGTATCTGCCTTCAGCTCAGGTCATGATCTCCGGGTCCTGGGATCCAGCCAAGCCTTGGGCTCCCTGCTCAGCGGGGAACCTCCCCACCCTCCCACCCACCCCCTGCTAGCGCTCACTTGAGCACTCTCTCTCTCTCTCTCCCTGTCTCTCTCAAATGAATAAATAAAATCTTTAAAAAGTAATAACATTTATCACCTCACAGTGCTGGAGGCTAAAAGTCCAGTATCAAGGTGTTGGCAGGATCCTGCTTCTGAGTAAGGGACAGGTGGGGCTAGGTAGGGAGAGATAGATAGGGGGCTATGTGATCAGGCTCACAGAAATCCCAAAAATGTGAAGGTGTGGGGAAACCAGAGATAAAGGGACAAATCGGAGCACCCTACCCTAGGCGTGTGGGGTGGAGGACCACCCTGCCCTAGCCAGTGTGGGGTGGGTGTCTTTATGACATCACCCGTAGCCAACAAAGAATAATCAGACCCTGAAAAGGAAGTAAGCCACTGAAGGTGTTATCCAATAGAGATGTTAAAAGGATTTAAGTTCCCTGGTTAGCTTTTTATAAAAGACCAATCCTAAAGGCCCTCCTTGGCAACCCTGTCAGGACCCCTCTCACTCTTGAGAGCTTTTTCTGTATCTTCACTTGATAAACTTCTATCGCTTTACTCACTCTCCTTTGTCTGCAAGATTCATTCTTTGACTCTGAGACAAGAACCTAGCTCTTCTACTTCACTTTCTCTGATGGCTCTAGGGAAGGATCTTTCCTTGTTTCTTCTAGCTCCTAGTGGTTGCTGACAATCCTTGGTTCCTTGGCTTCTAGATGAACCATTCCAGCCACATGATTGCCTTCTAGGTGTCTTCACATAGCCCTCCCTCTGTGCATATTTGTCTCTGTGTACAAATGTCCCTTTTTTATAAGGACTCCAGCCATACTGGATTAGGACCAATGACCTTATTTTAACTTTATTCCCTCTATAAAAACTATGTGAGAACTTCAACACACCTTTTGGGGAGGACACCATTCAATCAAGAACAGAAGAGAAGGGTAGTGGAACATGTCAACACAAAATGCAACTACAAGAGTTGAGGACATGCCACTCCACACGAGGCCACTTTGATAGACTGATTATTTTGAGCTGCCTGCCCCTGAAAAACATCAAATGCAGGAAGAGGTTTTCTTCTGAACTCCCCTCATCTGCCTAAACACAGGTCCTCCGAAAGGAAATCAATTGTCATAAATCCCCTTCCTGAGAGGTTTATTAACCAGGGAAGAAGGACTCTTGTCACAGGACCGGAGACTAGAAGTTGACGTAACATCCAGACAAGCTTTGTCACAAACTGCCACACACCCCCATCTATCCTTCCGAAGGACCTATTCATCTTTTCTAAAATCCTTTACTCTCTTCCAAAGAAGCCTTATCCTGTCTCCCTTTTCCCTATTAAGATGCTATTTAAGCTTGAATTCTAAGCCACCTCGGAGCGTTTCTCATTTTTCCGGGGTCTCTCCCACGTAAACATGAGTTATACATGTTAATAAACTTCTGTTGGCTTTCCTCTTGCCTTCTGTCTTTTATTACAGAGGTCTTAGCTAGAACTCACAGGGTAGAGGGGAAATTACTTTTTTCTCCCCTGCAAAGGCAGAGTAACCTGCCCATTGTGGTAAAAATATAGAATGGTATTTTGCTTTTCTAATAACTGACACAATTTTGTTTCATTGGTCTCCCTTTTCTTATTGGGGAGCGGGATTCCCTAACTATATTTCATTCTAGTATTAGAATTCTTCATTCCCCTTTGGTTGTTAAACCAGTCCAACACGTTACCGCCTCGGGCTCTGTGTGTCCCCCATGTGCCTCTGCTTGGGCTGGGGAGAAGGTGGTAAACCAGCTCTCCTGGGGAGAGAAAATCAAAAGGCCCCAGTCTGTAGCATTTGCTGGGGTCCACTGTGTACTGAATGTTATCTTGAATACTCCCACTATGGCTGACTCAAGCTACCCATGAACGACGGGCAAAATTCCTGAACATTTAAACTTCATCTCATGAACAGATATGAATAGTTTCCAGTATTCACTGAAGCATGGTCTCCTTTCTCACGACTGCTTTCTCCCTTTCTCCTCTCCCCATTCTCCAACCTGTAACTGCCCCCCGAAACTTCAGACAATAGGTGGGAGGGGGCAACACTGACATTTGAGAAGTTACAAGCTACTGACAGCAATTCTGACATCCCTTTTGGAAGCGATGGCTTCTCCACCACCAGCATGGCTGGGCCATCAGTCCCCTTGCATGGCAGGTGTCCACACAGGTGGGTCATCAGTCCCCTTGCATGACAGGTGGATGTGCATGTGCTGGATCATTGGAGAAATCTGAGGGGCCTTTTACTGCACTGTCTCTGATTTGGAAAATCCAGCTTTAACTTGGCCCCCTTACACCCATTCCCCCAGATCTTTCCTTGGGAAATTCAATTTACAGACTTTCTTTTTTTTAAGATTTATTTACTTATTTTAGAGAGAGAGAGAAAGACAGGGAGAGAGAACACAAGTGGGGGAAGGGCAGAAGGAGAGGGGGACAAGCAGACTCCCCACTGAGCAGGGAGCCTGATGTGGGACTCGATCCCAGGACCCCAAGATCATGACCTGAGCCAAACGCTCAACCGACTGAGCCATCCAGGCGCCCCTAATCTACAGACTTCCTAGTACTGCGATCCACATACCCACTGGTCAGCTTTTTTGGAGATATCTGCAAGAAAACTGTCACCCTATCTACCTTCTTTGGCACTCACCTGATGGAGGAAAATCCTATTATCTTTGCATATAAAATGGGAAACACAGGTGTCCTCTGGTATTCCTTCTCCTACTTAGGCCATGCCTCTCCTGCCCCTTTCTCCTTGCCAAAATAGTGTCCCTCACTCTGCTGGTCCATTATAAGCAACTTTATACAGGAGATTTTTGTCAGCACCTAAGCAAGCAGAGAGGAGGAAACATGGCTCTGGAATCCTCAAGTGCACAGGACAAGGAGAGGAACAAGTCCAAGTCCCTCTCTACCATGCAAAGAAAGTAGGGAGGAATAGTTTCTACATTATGAATTCTGCTCTCCCCCAAAAGACCCATCTTCCTCTCTCCCAGAACCCTTCAGTGTGGTTCATTGATGAAGACTGTGAAACTCATTTGGCCTTCGAGACAATAGGAAGGCCAGGATTCATCTCATGGCCTAAAACCAGGCCCTTGGCTTTGGAGAGTTCATTAAGGCTATTATCAGAGCTCTGTGTCCACCGTATTTGCTACACTTCTCAGCAACCTTTGGGAGGTAGACGAAGATGTTAGTAATAATAGATAACAGAGAACAATCAACACCTCACAATGCTCCATTACATTATCCTTCTAGTATCAAAGGGGGAAAAAAAAAGAAACAAACTTGTTTTTCATCAAAACTGACCACAATCGAATCTGTCTTCCAAGTTGGAAGAACAGAGAGAGGAAATAATTTATGTCCCTGGGAAAATAAATCTCTCTGTGGTCCCCTTTCAATTGCAGAAGCTGATGGACGAGGAGACAGAGATGGGGACAAATGGTCAGTCACCTGGGTTTGGAAAAAATGACGATCCCCAGAGCAGAGACCGAAGATAGGAGTCTACTTCCATTTCTGAGGGGGAGTCTATAGATGTCAAAGAGTGCACAAAGAGATAATAAGAAAGCAACACAGCTGAGGCTGAGGATTATTTTGTTTTGTTCTGTTTCCATTTGCCATTTCAGATGTTTGCTCTGCCAGGATATAAAGCCCATCTGTGCTCTCCAACCTGTTACCCATAAATGCCCCATGAGTGTTTTTCTCATGTCATTCCAAGAAAGGGGGATGAGCATGGCATTTGGTTCAGCATGGGGTAGAGAAAAGGGACCTTGCACGGGAAATGGGAGGCTGGGAACACGGAGTGGGTTCGCAACGCAGCCTGAAGGAGGAGCTAGCTCTGCACTGACATTCATCCCTGGGAAAGCGCAGAAATCCCAGAGAAGACAGAAAACAGAGGGTCTGTACTGACATCCAGGTTTCACTATCTGTACTGTTGTGATCATCATTAATGCCCATTAAGGGAGCCAAACAGAACCCACCCAGCACGGATCCCAGTAACATCAAAGGCTTCTCTATCTGGATATCATCACCAGCGTGCTTTCTCTCTGCCCCTAATAAGTACTCACTTGTCTTTATCCTCAGTGCCTCGTGGGGAAAGCTTGGAAAAGGTGGCTGTTTATGCAGTTGCTGCACAAGGCGAGTACCCGTCTTCAGTCTTAATCTGCTGGAGGGTGACCAGCAGATGTCCTCAAGGTGGCCCTTCCCTTTCCAGAAACTGAAATGTGTCACAGAGCACGGGGACGCCACAGAGTGGAGTCCATCTGAGCCGATGTACACCACTGTGAGGTAGGCGGGCCCTGTGCCCCGCTGACCCCCTTGGCAAGGACACCTTGCCTGCCCCACGTGAAGGGCACCATGTCATCCTTTCTTCTCTGTGCAGGAAGAAAATTCAGTGGCCAGAACTCTGGCCCATCAGAGCCTTTCTCCAAAGAGGCAGCATGCGAAAGTCTTTCCTAATAGACTTGTCTGATTAAGAATCCCACATCTTGTCATCTGAGAAGGCTCCCACATGGCAGTTTGGTGATCCTGTCGCCAAGGCTCTGTAACAGGAGCAGCTAAGCCGACTGTGTTGCAGTTTGTGAAATTCGAGACCACAAATATTTACCAGGGTGGCTGGTGGCCGGTGCGTCTTCCGCACTCACAAAAATGAAGTAGGAACATGATCTTTTCATGCTGTCTCCCACACAGCTGTCTCACACACTGCTTTCCAGAGACTCTAGTGGTTTTTCCTTTTTTCTTTTTTTCCCCCGAATATTTCAACTGTCATTTTCTCTAGTTAGTAACGTATTTTCTTCAAGGTGGAAGGAAAGCCCTTAACGTCTGAATTCCACAAATGAGACCTACTAACATACAACTCTCAGCTACTTGAAGCTGCCCCAAAACAACTTTGTTAAATGCGTATTATCCCGAGTTTCCCTGAGGAGACAGTGTAAACAATTTCTTATGAGGTGGACTTTGGTGTAGATTTCTGCTCCGTGCTTCTGACTAACTTTCTTCCTAGAAAATCTCTGCTGTTTGTCAGAAGTTGTGATACTCGGTACTTTCAATAAAGCAGTCATTTCTTATTAGGACCGGTCACTGTGTGAACTGGACAAGTAACCCGGCTTCTGTGGCTCAGTTTTCTCTTTCACAAAATTAGACTGTTGTATGATCTGCTATGGAGCCAGCTCCACCATGAATCACCACGGCATACAAACGAGGATAATTGAGCACGCCACACCTCCAACACCAGTCCTCGGTATAATTGGCACATCATGAAGGCAAAGTGATGGGAAAATGAAGGGAAAGAACGATATGAGAAAGAGGGGAGGAAGGGAAGGTAATAGGATTCGTCAGACATGAGGAAGCACTGGGCTCCCATTGCATTTGTCATTCCTATTTTCCTCTGGTGAGGAAATTGCTCCCAAAATAGGTACCCCCAATTTTGGGCGGTATACTGATAGGCTGAGGATACGTGAACAGTCTTTATACTTATTAGCAATAGGTTTCTTTTGCCCACCTTTTCTAACCCCAATATCTCATATAGAAAATGTACTCAGTAACAGCCCTGATAAATATTTGTAGAGCAAATATTTAAAGCTAATGTGGAAACCATTTGATAAAAGGTTGATAAGGAAATGGAGATCAGGTGATGAATACTTGAATTCAAGAATCAGTATCATTAAAGTGGAACATCAGATATGATGTTGCTCATGGAGTGATGCAATGTGACCTACACAACACCATATTCTTGCAAAAATCTGGACCTCGACTGGATTAAGGCTTTAGAGCTTACTTCCGGTTGATAAAGCAAATGGCAGCTGGAGGAACAAGTTAAACACCAGCTCTGGGAAATAGACAAATCCAGAATGTAGGACATTCTACAGGCTCAACTCACCAGTATTTTCAACAAGTCAATGACAAGGAGAAAAAGAGAGAGAAACACAGAGAAAGAGAGAAATTGGAGATTACTACTTTGGATCTTGATTGAATCCCAATTCGAACAGATAAATTATACAAAGACAATTGGACTGATTGGAATGTGTACTGTGTGCTAAATGACTCCAAGGACTTGTCATTTAGTCATGGATAATAGTAGTACCTATAGTTATGTAAGAAAGTCTCCATGTTTTTAGAGATGCATATCAAAATAGAATGATGCCATATTCGAGATTTGCTTAAAATACTTAACACACACACATCAAGGGAAGGGGAATCAGTGAATATTGTATGGCAAAATCTTTATAATCACGGGGTCTTGGTGATAAATATGAGGATGATATATGGATTGGGGTACATTTTGTTGTTCTCCATGCTTTAGGTTTGAAGCAGTTATCATTCTCTTCAAATGTAAATACCTTGAAGGATGTTCTGACCAGGAAGGGGCATGGTGAGCTTTTTGGGGGGCTAAAAATGCTCCCTATCTGATGTGGGTGATAGTCACATCGATGTACACATAGGCAAAACTCATCAAACTGTACACTTAAGATCTGTGCTTTGTGTTGCATTTGTTGCTGCATTAAAATAAACTAGCTTCCATCCTTAGCAGGCAAAATTAAATTAAATAAACACCTACATGAATAATTAAACGCAATGTACATCTACTCCCTTGGTCCTATGAGATGCCTCCACTTCAGAGATTCCTGAGAATTCCAGCATCCATTGCAAAAAAGCAATGACACTCAGTCACTGGGAATACTACCTCCATGTTTTAGAGACTAGAAAAACTTTTATTACCCAGTTTCTGGGGTGATGGGACTTGAAAAAGAGGCAATTACAAGCATTGGCCTTGAGTCATAGGCATCTGAGAGCACTTAAAAGAAGAAATGAAGGAAAAATGGATGTGTTTTTAGCCAAAGGGATAGAGGGGGGCCCGGAAGAGGGCCTAAAGGGAAAGCAACCTTAAGACGAAGCCAACACAGCCTGGGTGGTGCAGTGGGTTGAGCGTCCAACTGTTGATTTTGGCTCAGGTCATGATCTCAGGTCATGATTTCAAAGGCACATGCAAATACACATCCCACAGTCCCAGGATTGAGCCCTGTGTTAAGCTCTGCATTCAGCAGGGAGTCTGCTTCTCTCCCTCTCCCTCTGCCCTTCCCCTGCTCATTATCTCTCTCTTTCTCTCTCTTTCAAATAAATAAATACATCTTTAAAAGAGAAGATGAAGCCAACAGTGTAGATAGTGAAGTGGAAAAAAATAGACAGCATTGGACCACTGGATCAACCCTCACCTGAAGGCCATTCTAGTGCTGGACTTGCCAGTTTATAAGAAATAAATTCCCTTATGATTTAATCCTATTCAAATGAAAGTCACTTTCACTGATACAGTGATTCTGTTCTGTACTATGTGACCCCCAACAATAGTCATATCTGAGTGGAAGAAGAGAGGACACCAGACTCTTGAGCCAACAATACACAGTCTGGGCAGGGGTCTATGAAGTAGCCAGATACAAAAGCTCTCTCTAATAGGGACATCATATCTGGGGAAGTGACTGACCAGAATCAACCCATTTGGCTTCATGTCCTTTAGTAAGTCTAATGGTGGTGGCAAGAATAGTTGAATTAGGGGCACCTGAGTGGCTTAGTCGGTTAAGCGCCCAGTTCTTGATCTCGGCTCAGGTCTTGAGCTCTAGGTCGTGGGATCAAGCTCATGGTCAGGCTACGCACTCAGCGGGGAGTCAGCTCGAGAGTCTCTCTCTCCCTACCCCCTCTACTTCCCCATTATAAGAGAAATTAGACACAAAGAAAAATCATAAGCGCACTCTCAGACCCCCACATGTCACATTGCACTGCCCGAGTTACTACCATAATCAGTTAGTGACACCTTGCCCCTTGCAGAAGAAGGGCCCCAATGGTGAGCAAGGAAGGGAGAACATACCTGATACCCAAGCCTGACACTGCAGGGCTTACAAGACAGACGGCTAGAGATGAGCAACATCCTCACTGACTGGCTAGTTTCAAAATGCAAATCAGTCTGAGAAGCCCAGCTATATGCCTGTTCCTGTTTTTCTCTGATTCTGGCTTTGGGTGGAGACTGCTGACTTCCTTATTTCTACATGAGTCCTCTCAATAAGACCCTCTCGATTCCGATGCTTCTCTTCTTGAAAAGTCAACACTACTTTCAATAAATATCCCATTTTCTCCAACTAGATCTCTCAAAGAGAGAGAGTCTGTCTTCCTTCTAATAAAATTTACTCTTATTTTTTAAGTGTAAGAAATGAGTCTTTTCTCCCAGGACAGCATGGTTTAAGCCACGAGGAGCCCGGTCTGCGAGATCATAGTTGTTGCATCGCTTGATTCCACCAGATGGCGCAGTTGCCGGCTCACACACCCAGAGTCCGGCAAAACTCTCATCACGGAATAAACAGCTTCGCAAAACTCACCGCCTCTCCCCCGCTTCCTGAGAAATCGCCACTGCTTAAAACAGCTACGGTCTCCGTGACTGACATGCTGGACACTCATCAAGTGTCTCAGAGGGTTTTCCTAAGTGTAAGATATTGAGCCAAGCCCTCGGGTAGCAATGGTGTCTGAGACTGTTGGGGGAGAGATGACCGTTTAGCAAATGATCACACACATAAAGGCCAACTCTGATTTATGCTACAGAAAGAAACAAAGGTGCCTGGTTGTTAATGCCACACAGGACCAAGCTGGGGAGGCGGGGGGGGGGGGTGGACTCCAAAGGAGGAAAAGGAGCAAAATTATGGAAGGGGGAAGAGAAAGCATTCTCCCAAACAGAAGGAACAGCAGTTAAGAAGGCATGGAGGCTGGAAAGATTGTGGCACTTTGGAAAGACAGAGAAAAAGAGAAGCCAAAGCTTTCAAACTGAGGATAAGAGCAAAAGAAAGGAAGAGAATTGAATGATCCCGTTAGTAAGTCCTTGGCTTCAAAAAGCATTTATACAATGACCCTCAAATTTATATCTCAAACCCTTCCGTTTGAGCCCCATATATATATGTCCCTACTCAACATATCCACTCAGTTCTTTCAAAGGCACACGCAAATACACATGCAGCACTGAATTCATGGTCTTCTCTGGTCTGATCACCCCTTCCCTGAATGCCAGCGAACGGGACTTGCCCATACGTTCCATTGCAAAATTCAGCAAACAGAAAAGACTGCCTGAATCCTCCTTTACACCATCTACCACCAAATCCTGTTCATTTTAGCTGCCAAATCTGACAGCTTCTCTCCAGATCAGCGATTCTCCAAAGGTGGTCTCCGAACTAGCCACGTTCGCATATCCCGGGAACTTGTCAGAAATGCAAATTCTCAGGCCCCACCGCAGTGCCACTGAATCCAGGGGCCCAGAAATCTGCATGTTAGCAAGCCCTCTGGGGGGATTGGAAGTCCAGCACACTTGAAGAACCACTGTCCTAGACCCAGAGGGCCCTGTCTTGGCCGGGAACCTGTTCCATCATTTCTGATCGGGGCTGCTGCAGCACTTCCCCGCATCGAGGGAAGCCTCCGTTCCAGGTGAATCTTAACCCTGGCCAATACTGTAATCTACTGGGATGCTCTAGAAACGGATCACCGCAGAATCTCTGGGGGTGGGCCAGGTAATCGTTTGAGAGCTTCGCTTTAAAGGCCAAGACTAAGAACCACTACTCCGCTCCCTTTCCTTCCCCTCTACCGCCAGACTGATCTTTTCAAATGCAAATCTGGTCCTGCAATTACCTAAAATCAGCCAGGGTCAAGCCCACGTTCCTGCCACCTGCGAGGCTGGCTAGTGATCTGGCCCCAGCACTTAGAGCCTCGCTCACTCCGGGTTCTACCGCGCTGGCTGTCCATCTTCAGTCCGCAGCAGACTCAAGCTTTCTCCTGCCCTACCTTCAAATGTATCCCTTGCTCTCCTGCCCGAATTTGCTGTTACCCCTTTGCCGGTAACCTTCCTCGTAATCATTCTGCAATCTGAGCTCCAACGTCCCTTCCACAGGGAAGTCTTTCCCAAGCTTCTTTGTCATGGAAAGAGCGGGGTGGACGGGATACGGATTCCTCTCGCTCTGGAAAGTCTTGATCTAGGAGCTTATGGCTCATGGATTTATTTACCTTTAATTTTATACTTATTTGTGATTATTTTATTCCTGTTTTTCTTCCTCCCTGGATTGTAAACTGCAGAAGGCAGACACACGGGATGCACTAACAAATACTTACTGAATAATGGGACAACTCTTTGAGGTGGGCACTAATGAACGTTCTCGTTAATATAAGGGGAAACTGAGTCTACGCAGTTTAAGCATCTTGCTAGTAAAAGGCAGGGCTGGGTTTTGAACCCAGGTCAGGGATTTTCTAACATCATAACCACCAAGCTATGCAGGGGGAGAGCTTTCCAGTGCCTGATCCGGAGCCTGAGTTTTCTTGCTCAGGATTAAGCTTTGTTTGGTCCTTGTTAGAACTGGGCTCAGCTTGAAGGCCACACAGTTATTTCCTTTCCATTGAAATCACAATCTGCTCCAAGGAAATGAAGCTTATGGCTCTCAGGGTAGAAAGGGCAAATGTGTGGGAGAAGCCAGAGATCAAACTGTCAAGTGCACTTGTTATAGAATTTTTCATGAGCTGAATTCAAATGCTATCAGTGGGGCAACTCCCCCCTTGGATTCAAAGGAGTGAGAACAAAGGATGAAGAGAAAGGCAGCTGTCAGTGCATAATCAGAGGCCAGATGGAAGGGTCCAGGCCCAGGGACGCGGAGTAGATCCAGCCAAGGGCGAGGACAGAGGTCACAAGAGAAGGCAGAACAGCAGAAGCTAAGAAGCTGTTTCTCCCTCAGCGCGAGCACAGGGGGAAACATCCGATTCCCCGTGGTTTATCGGGGGGTTCCCTCCAGTTCCACCAGCTGCCCTTCCTCTTCCTGCGCCAGACTGAGTCGAAACTCCAGGAAGTCACTTTGTCTCTCTCTCATTTTCCTCCTGGGCAAAATTAGGAAGGTCATCTTAGATGACCTTGAAAGATGCTCTCAACTCTAAAATTCTGTGGCTCTCTGAACGACACTGTTAGGATTGACTCGGGAAAGGCAGAAACACAGGGGCGTATTGGGAGTGATTCTCAACACCAGAAAGATCATGACCCTTTTATGCTACTCCTCCACCCCGACCTCATCTTATTCCAGAAGAAGGTGCTTCAGGCCAGGTCCAGCCAGCTTTGAAGTCCAAATGGAACCATGAAGTTCAAAGCAAAATGAATCCAAAGCACAGTCAATGCCACTAATATACCAACTCCCCAAATTGAGGTAAACTAAACTATTATTACAGAAACAAATATCTAGCAGAGAATTTTGGTGGCCTTATTTCTTGAATAATTTAACTTGTTTGCATGAAAATGAGTGATGTCTAGTCTTAGACGATTAAATCAGAATAAGTCCAGATTGCAATTCACCTTCACATATTTAATATATATGGTATAGTTGGATCAAGACATCTTTACAAGGTTGATGTCGGCACTAGGAGTGAGTAGATATGAAGCAGGACCAGCTGAAAAACTGGAATAAAATCAGCTCTGATATGCCTGGGCTCAGAATGCTCATCCCCCAAACTGCACCTAAAGAAATCTTGCCATCTCTTCAGCCCCGTCATGGACCTGGGAAGCAGCTTTGCAACATAGGCCCCCAGATTCTGTGACCTCCCTTCTACTGAAACATGGTCTGTGTTCCTTGCCCTTAAATTCAGGTTCTAGATCTCCACGATGAACAGACTATGAAGTGACACTGTGCCAGTTGCCAGACTCAGGCTCTAAGAAACTGGCAGCGTTGAAACTGCCAGCTACCATGTTGTGAGGAAGCCAAACAGCCTCATGTAGAGGTCATGGGTAGATGGTCCAGCTGACAGCCCCAGCTGAGGTCTCAGTCTACAGCCAGCACCAACTGCCAGACATGTGAGCAATCAGGCTTTCAGAGGATCCTGGCCCCCCACTTTTCACGCTGCCCCCGATGACACCACATGGTCTGGAGATGAGCTGTTCCCATCCAGCCCCATCCAGATTTCAGCTCCAGGAACAAATTAAAGGACTGTTGTCCCCAGCCCCTAAGTTTGGGGTGGTGCGTTAGGCAGCGATAGGTGACAAGAACAGAAGCCTTCCTTGACTCCTCAGGCCAGGGCCACACCACCACGACCATCAGTGTGAGAGTCGTGAGGGCAGTTCACAGTTATTCCCTCTCCCCTCCTTCTGGGTACAAGATGCAAATGCACGTCCCACCTGCTTTGAATTTAGGCATGGCCTACGGGCTACATCATGGCCAATGGAATGTGATTGGAAAAGATATGTGCCAAGTCTGGGCAGAAGCTTTAAAATCTCCTGTGCAACCCACCTGTCACAGAAATGGTGGAAACCCACTTGGAAATGGATCTCCCCTCAACCAGGCTCCCTGATGGGAGCAGGATGAGCAGGGCTGCATTGCCAACCCATGTTGGACATACCGCACGAGGGACAAATTAATTCGTTGTTGGGTGAATCCACCGGGATTTTTTCAAGTTATTTGTCACCACAGCATCTGACCAGGTTTCTCAATGGCAGCACTGCTGATGTTGGGGGCTAGATAATTCTTTGTGGGGGCATGATGCCCTGTGCATTGTAGGGTGTTAGCAGCATCCCGGGTCTCCATCCACTAGATGCCAGTAACACCACCACTCCCACTTGAGGCAACCA